AGGGCTAACAAATCTGTCCTGGAGGAAGTGCAGCCAGAATGCTCCTTGGGAGCAAGAATGGCCAGACTTTGTCTCACATACTTTGGTCATGTTGTCAGAAGGGACCAGTCTCTGGAGAAGGATTTCATGTTTGGTAAAGTAGAGGGTCAATGAAAGAGGGGATGTCTATCCATCCTCAATGAGATGGATAGACATGGTGGCTGCAGCGATGGGCTCAGCAATAGTAGGGATAATGAGGCTGGCATCAGAAGGGCAGTGTTTCATTTGTTGTACATAAAATCACTATGAGTCAGAGTGACGGCTCATGACAACAAAAAAAATTGTAAATGGTATTGATTTCCTTATTTCTTTTTCACCAATCTCTTTGCTGGTGTAGAAGAATCCAACTGATTTTGGATGTTGATCTTGTACCCTGCCACTATGCTGAACATCTCAGTTAGTTCCAGTAGATTTTTTACTGAGTCTCTTGGGATATTTAGGTTTAGCATCTTATTATCAGCAAATAGGGATAGCTTGATTTCTTCCTTACCAATTTGGAAACCAATTGGTAAATCAATTTGATTTCCCTTTCTTGCCTTATTGCCCTGGCTAGGACTTCCAATACAACGTTGAAAAGTGGTGATAGAGGGCATCCTTGTCTGGTTGCTGTTCGCAAGGGGAGTGGTTTCAGTCTCTCTCCATTGAGAATAATGTGGCTGTTGGTTTTGCATATATGCCCTTTATTATGTTGAGGAATGTCCCTTCTATCCCTATTTTGCTGAGAGTTTTCATTAGGAATGGATGTTGGATTTTATCAAATGCCTTTTCTGCGTCAATTGATATGATCATGTGGTTCTTTTGTCTTATTTATGTGGTGGATAATGTTGATTGTTGAATCATCCTTGCATGCCTGGTATGAACCCCACTTGGTCATAGTGAATTATTTTTTTGATATGCTGTTGGAGTTTATTGGCTAGGATTTTGTTGAAGATTTTTGCATGTGTATTCATGAGGGATATTGGTCTGTAGTTTTCCTTTTTAGTGATGTTTTTGCCTGGTTTTAGTATCAAGGATATGCTTGCTTCATCAAATGAATTTGGAAGGATTCCATCCTTTTCTGTGTTTTGAAATAGTTTGAGTAAGATTGGTGTCAGTTCTTCTCTGAATGTTTGGTAGAATTCTCGGGTGAAACCATCTGGGCCAGGACTTTTATTGTTGGTAATTTTTTTTAGCGGTCTGTTCAAGTTCTTCTTTTGTTAAGGATCTCTTTGACTTTTCCACCTCAGTTTGTTTTAGTTTAGGCAAGTAGTATGTTTCTAAAAAAGTGTTCATTTCTTCCAGATTTTCAAATTCGCTGGAGTACAGTTCTTCACAGTATTATCTTTTTTATTTTAGTTGGTCCTGATGTGATGTGGTCCATTTTGTTTCTTATCCATGTTATTTGTATTCTCTCCCTCTTTTCCTTTGTTCAATTTGCCAGTGGTTTGTCAAATTTATTAATCTTTTCAAAAAACCAACTTCTAGTTTTGTTGATTTTTTCTAGTGTCTTTCTATTTTCTGTTTCATTTATTTCTGCTCAAATCCTTATTATTTCCTTTCTTCTGGTGACTGTAGGCTTTTCTTGGTGTTCTTGTACTTGTTCTAATTTTGGGGGATGTTGGTTAAAAGTGTTGATTTTGGCTCTTTCTTCTTTTTTGATGTGTGCATTTATTGCTATAAATTGGCTTCTGATCACTGCTTTGTGCTGTGTCTCAAAGATTTTGGTATGTGGTGTTTTCATTCTTGTTTGATTCAAGGAATTTTTTACTTTAATTTTTTATTTCTTCTATTACTCAGTAATTCTTAAGGAGGGTGTTGTTCAGCTTTCATGTGTTTAGTCTTTTTCTGTTGATCTTCCTATTGTTGATTTCTAATTTCGTAGCATTGTGATCTGAGAAGATGTTTTGCATTATTTCAATGTTTTTAAATTTATTAAGGCTTGCTTTATGGCCTAACATATGTTTTATCATGGAGAATGTTCCATGTGGACTGGAAATGAATATTTATTGAGCTGTTGTTGGGTGAAGTATTCTGCAGATGTCTATAAGTTCAAGTTGGTGGATTGTATTGTTTAGCTCTTCTGAGTCTGTTGAGTTTCTTTCCAGTTGTTCTATCTTTCATTGAAAGTGGTGTATTAAAATCTCCTACTACAACTGTGGCATCATCTATTTGTCTTTTCAATTCTGTTAAAGTCAGATTTATGTATTTTGAGTCTCTTTCACTGGGTCCATTGATATTTATTATGGTTATATCTTCCTGTTCAATTGATCATTTAATCATTATACAATGTCCTTCCTTGTCTTTTATGGTGATTTTGTTGATTTTATCAGAAATTAATATTGCCACTCCTGCTCTTTTTGATTGCCATTTGCTTGATATATCTTTTTCCTATCTTTGATTTTTAGTCTATTTTTGTCTTTGTCTCTAAGGTGTGTGTCTTGTAGACATTATATTGATGGTTTATGTTTTCCTATCCAGTCTGCAACTCTCCATCTTGAGTGGTGCATTTACTCTAGTTACATTCAGTGTAGTTATTAACAAGTATGAATTTGTTGCTGTCATTTTGTTATTTTTTTTTTATTTTCATGGTTTTGCTGATTTCTTTGTTCCATATAATTTTCTGTGCTGAGATTTTTTTTCTTTTTTAATGAATCATATTATCAACTCCTTCATTGCTATTGTTTTAGTATTTGCTAAATATTTGTGCTTGTCCTCTTTTTTATTTGATGTGAAGGTTTATTATTTTTCTTTTAGGTTACCCTGTGATATATAATTATCTTCCCAAGTTTAGAACAGTCTTTTCTATCTTGCAATTGTCTTGACTTCCTCAACATGTAAAAATTCTGTTACTACAATATTTTTCCCCTCTTTTTGGTTTGTATTTGTCCTCATTTGCCAGTTGATGTCTCTAGTTCTGTGCTTACAGTCTTGTAAGCTTATTTTAGTTTTGATACTTCCATAACTGGATTAGTTTCTGGGTTATGTCATCATGTGTGTTAATGGTTGGTTGTTGTTTGCTGTTGTTGGTTCACTGTCCAAAGGACTCCCTTTATCATCTCTTGTAAGGTTAGTCTCGTTTTAACAAATTCCCTTAATTTCTGCTTATCTGGAAATGTTCTAATTTCACCATCATGTTTGAGGGATTGTTTTGCTGGATATATAATTCTTGGTTGGAAATTTTTTATTTTTTTCTTTCAGGGTTTAATATATACCATCCCATTGCCTTCTCACCTGCATGGTTTCTGCCAAGAAATCCTATCTTAGTCTTATTGCTTACTCTTTTTGTTTTTCCTGTGCTGCTTTCAGGATTCTCTCTTTGTCTTCGGTTTTGGTGAGTTTAATGATGATATGACTTGGTGATTTTCTTTTGAGATTTATCCTGTTTGTGGTTCATTTAACTTTTTGAATGGATATATTCTTGTCTTTCATAGTATTAGGGAAATTCTCTTCCAAGAAATATTTGACAATTTTCTCTATGGTTTTATTTGTCTCTTTCTGTTCTGGAAATCTGATTGTACATAGGTTATTCCTCTTGATGGTATCCCACATGAATTTTAGTCTATTCATTTTGTTTTGATCTTTTTGCAGATTGATCCTTTACCAAAGTAATATTGAGGTATTTGTCTTCAATCTCACTAGTTTTGTCTTCCATTAATTTGATACTGTTCTTTTTGTCAGTTAAATGTGTTATCTATTTCTGAAAATTTAGTATTAATCATCTGGATTTCTATCTGTAGATTTTGTGTCATCTCTCATTTTTCATGTATTTTGTCATTGTGTTCTTGTATTGTCTTCCAAAATTGTTCTAGGGTTTTGTCTGTGTTTTCCTTGATTTGTCTCTCAATCTGTTGATGGTACCTAAATATAATTCTTTTGAATTCCTTATCAAGGATTTCCAATGCTGCTTCTTCCTCAGGGATGTTTTCTGGGTCTGTGTTCTGGTTCCTTGTTTCTCCTCTTTATCTTGCTTTTTTTGTGGTGCACTATGATTATCTCTTGTCTCAGACATTATGATGTCTTTGTATTTATATTTAATTGGTGATTGTATGTTGGAGAGATTCACTGAAGATTTTTGTTTTATTTTGATATACCTGAGTAAGCAGGGTACTATGCTCCTCTATTCAATATTTGGCAGCACTTAGACACTCACTACCTGTCTTCTTTCTATTCGTCAGCCTCCAGTATGTCCATGCTGTCCTCAGCAAGTAGAATTTATTTTTAGGTCTTTGGGATGTGAATGCGAACACTGCCACTTTAGCTATCCAAAATGACCACACCATTTGTAAATATCCAAAATGATTTCACCCACTGGGCAGCTTAAAATCCAGAGTTCAGTTTGTCTACTTCTTTGCTGTTTCCTTTTTTAATCATCAACCATGAGTACAGTTGTCCTTGCAGCCCTTGGTAAGCAGGCCCATTTTTTGGTTAATTCTCCAGTCCTAACACCACTTGGAAATATCCAAACTGTTAATGCCATCTGAATAGCTGACAGTGTGTGACTCCATTTGTCTCCTTATTCACTGATTTCTTTTAGGTTCTTCTACTAGTTGGTATTTAATCCATTTCTGTATCCTTCCTTTCAAAAGTCAGGGATCCAGGATTATCTTTTGTATCTGTGTCAATTGGTTTCTCTTTTCTTTGTTGAAGAGGGTCAGTGTAGTTTGTCTGCCTATTTCACCATCTTCTGGATTGGCTTATGTGTGTTTTACAATTTAGTTGTGTTCAGGTAGAACTATTCAGGGGTTAATTGTATGTGCAAGTCTGGAGCTCAACAAGAAGTTAAATACTTTAGAGGATTGGTATTGTAGTATAGCTGAAACTGTGAGTGTGGATAGATTCATGTCCTTTTTGATGCACCTGAAAAAAGGGAGGTGAAAAATTGATTTGGACTGACAAGGATGTAGGCAAGGTGATTCTGGTGCTTTGTGGCATTGACATCTTTGGGCAAAATTTTGATGGACTCTCTGTTTGCTTTCCTTCAGGCCTGGGAGCACTCTGTGGGGATTATCTGTTTCCCCAGTATCCAAGTGCTGGCAGAGGATGTGTCCAACCAGCTTGCCTATGAGATACAGAAGGCTCTTGCTGGAAAGCCTGCAGGTAAGACAACATAGGTGTTAGAAAACGCTTTCTAGAGGCCAAACAAGTGGACTGATCAGATCTGAAGTCCCTCCCAGGCCTCTGGGTAAGCCTGTCTCCACTTTCTCATGGAGTTTCATAGAGAAATGCTTTCCAAACTGCATAATGAACTGATTCCACCACTGAGTAGATCAGTTCCTCTGTTGGGAAATAAGGAAAAGACTTGCAAAGGAAGGAAGAGGGTTCAGCTACTTCTGGGAGGGAAAGACTCCACTTTTATATATCCTGCCTCCTTATATACATACACATACACACACACACACAACTAGGACCACAGTCTTCCACAGGGAAGGAGTGCTAGCATTAGGGGGGTTACCTGAGTATAGCTCAGTATAGGGAGATAGCATGATACAGATTTTAGGAATTATGGTATGTGAAGGGCTGTGTGATGCATAAAGAGGGCAGGAGGAGAAACTTATGGATTATGCAGAGTCCTTTTCCCATTCATTTGTCAATAGGGAGCTACTGATTGTTGTTGAACAGGAAGAATGGCATGATAAAACCTTTCCTCTGAGGAGATTAAACTAGCAGAATGTGAAATGTTTACTCTAAGTTCAGGTGGGTTGGGGGTTGGTGGGCAGGAGGCAGGGGTCCTCTAAATATGCCAAGACACATCTCAAGGGCAGAGGAGCCCATGGGTGGATAGGTAGCTGGGTGGCAGATCCCACTGTATTTGCTGATAGTCACACTTTCTTTCCTTCCTGCACTCTTGTCAGAGCAAGCACGGGTAATGGCTGGACAATTGCTACGATGGAAGGGGGATGAAGACCAGGGTGGCTACCTGCTCCTGAAGTCAGTGTATGTACTCACAGGGACGGACTCGGTAAGTGTAAGTCCCCAGTAGCCTCTGTCTTGGACCTTCCTCATCACTGTGCAGGGGAATGTCCTAACGATTGCACGGCTTGAGATTTTCTCTACATTTGTGAAAATGATTGTCTCTCCTTTCCTAGTTGCCTTCCCATAGAGAGCATAAAGTTCAGAGTCTGAAATTCAGGTTCAATTTTTGCCTTTTCAGTTGTTTCACCTCTCTGCAACTCAGTTGTGTTACTTATTTTAGGGTTGAGCACAATAATGAACAGTAATGGGGATAATAATTTTCTTATTATAAAGATTAATAGTGGGTGATTTTTTTGACTATTTACTACAGGTGGTGGGCTGGAGGCTGATACCTGAAGTTAACCAATGGATAATCTGACTTCTCCTTGACATAGTTGCCAGGACACCTGTCAGGCACAATGACTTAAAACACAGAACAAATCCCTTCTGCCTAGGGAAAGTATTGTCTTCAGTCTGAGTGCTGAAGATAAATCTGGGGGCTTGTTTTCCCAAAGCAGTAAGAGGAAAAAACGCTTGGCTGTCAGTGGAACCAGAATAGCATCTGGAGGACAGGGAAACAGCCAACCTGAAGGAGTGGGTGTCATGTTAGAGTCAGATGTCAAATAAAGGGAGTGTATTACCATGCAGTGAAAGCTTTTAGGTAGAAAAGGTTAGCACAAGCTACCTGCATTATGTTCATAATTCTTTTGTGAACTATGCATTCTTCCTTTTTCTTTCTATCATTCCCTTACCATGTCTGTTAGGCTAGTAAATCTGTGGGGAAAATGATATTGGACTGATTATGCATTACTGAGTGGAGAGTGTGACATGGGGAAATCCCACCTGTGCTCACATGTGCACACACACAGAATTTGCAGCTGCAGGCAGAACCTGTGCAAGAAAGGCTGAAAGAAAGTTCGTACCAGTTGCATCTCCATCTCTACCAAATTCATATCTTCTCAGCCTCTGTCTTATGGCTTCTGGCCCTGCTGAGTTGATGTGTGGTTGTTTGGAATAACACCTTTCCTTATTGGACCATTTTAGTCTTGATGAAGTCTTAGATATGTATGAAGAAATTTGGAGGGCCCTGATCAGGCCCTTAATCCAGTTGTTCATGAACTTGCAATCAATATCATACCCTCATGACTGAGGTTCTGGTTCCCTAATCAGGAGCCAATCCACCAAAAGTCAGTCATGTGAATTGCTAGAAAGCCGTTGTTTTCTACTCTCCCTTCCTACCTCTTTCTCTCTCCTTTTCTTCCTTCCTTCCATCCATGGGCTATTTTATAACATAGCTTAACATTTACTGAACACATAGCAGACATTTTACCTAAATCTATTCTTCACAACCAACCCAAGTGGGGCACTAACATTGTCTCTGTTTTACACTTGAAGCACAGAGAGGGGAAGGAACTGACCCAACCTTTCTGGCTAAAACAGAGTCCGGAACAGCCCATCTCAGCCTATAGCTGTATGTTGTGCTCTGTCCTCAGGTCATGTCCCTTCTTCCCTTCCAGGAGACATTGGGCCGAGTTGCCGAATCTGGTCTCCCAGCCCTCCTTCTACAGTGCCTTTACCTCTTCTTTATCTTCCCTCTGGAAAAAGATGAGCTTCTGGAGAGCAACTTTCAGGTTCAGAGGATGTTTGTGCAGGTGAGTGAGAGGAAGGAGTCTCTACCTCTACCTCTACCTGGCCAAGCCCTTGCTGACTCCTGAATGCTTTTCTGATATGTTTTTTTTTCCTTGGCTTTTCTGGCTGCCGAGGAACTCTGATGTATCTTTCCCAACCCCTGTTCTGAAGCTCCTCTATTCTGCTGTAGTGCTTGGCTCACCCTCTTTCCCCCACTCTCTGCAAATGCCTGGGAACACTGTGTGGTTAGACATGGATTTTTTCTTGTCTCCCCATCTCATTGTATCACTGTATCAATACCCTCTCTTTTGTTCTCTTCTAAAAAGATGTGTTCCTTTTCCTTCCAACATCTGTCTCCTCTACTTGGCTGTCTTGCTCTACCCATCTCACCCAACTTCTTCTCCTCTGGTCTGCACGCCTATTTTCTATCTACTCTCCTTGGGATCTGGAATGTCATGTCTCTGAACCTTTCTCCTTTGATCACAAGCATGCTAAAGTCACACTTGAAAAAAACAACAGCCAACATTTTCCTATGTACTTGCTGCATATACAACATAGGGTCATATGCCTCCTATACATGACCTCCATCAACACTCCCTTTGAGTCCAGAATGTATATAGTATTGTTATTCTGATTCTATAAATGGAAGAGGAGTAAACATCAAATCCAAGGTCACAGAGGGAGTGGGTAAAGAAGCCAGGATGGATCTTGGAGATCTGGCTCCATTTTCAGTCACAGATGCTTTAAGTACCTGGTGATGCCACCTCCCATTCTTCTCAGATGACATGACATTGCAGGCCACTAAGCATCAAATGCAACTTCCTCTAGTCATTATTTTTTTTTCTTGCCTACCCAATCAATCAGAAGTGGCTTTTAACAGCTTCTTACCAACTTCCCCTGCCTCCTTGCTGGATAATTTCTGCTTTCTTAGCTTCTGGACTACTGTGATTTCTGGGCCCCTTCTACTCTCTGACTTTGAGGTGAGTGGAGGGCAAGGAACACTGTATGTCTCACTGTCTTCTGTAGGGACAAGTTTAGGGCAATATCTCACAACTAGAGACATCTGATCATAAATATGACATGTATCTGTTGTACAGATTTTTTCACTTTACATTCATTTTGGACAAATTCTCAAACCAGAATCATCATAATTGGAGTATATCATGTTTGTTCTTTAGGACATCACTTAGTTTGGGTATCTTTGTTTCTTAGTGCTGCTGTAATAAAAATACTACAAGAAAGTAGCTCTAAAGAACAAGAATTTATTTTCTCACAGTTCTGGAGGCTAGTCCAAATAATTGGCTGTGTTTATTTTCCTTGTGGGCAGCTCTGGGCATTCTTTGGCTCCTTGGCTTGTAGGTAATCCTCAAGTGGCATCTGTCTTTTCTGATATGTATGTCTGTGTTCCTGTGTCTCTGCTGCTCTCAATATAGCTCAGGAGTGATTAGGTATGACCTAAACAGATTGATTACATAACATTAGATTGCATTGTACAAGATGATTTTTTTTACATTGTATTGCATCATGGAAGGTGATTACATTACATTAGATTCCATCCACAGGAAAAGGGGTTAAGATTCTAGCATATATTTTGGGGAAAAATAATTCATTCTATAACAGTGGGTTACTCTGTAGTAGCAGTATATTGACAGAGAACTCCCAGAAATGCAAGCTAGATTCAGAAGAGGACATAGAACAAGAGATATCATTGTTGATATCAGATAAATCTTGGCTGAAAGCAAAGAATATCAGAAAGATGTTTACTTGCATTTTATTGACTATGCAAAAGCATTCGATTGTGTGGATCATAACAAATTATGGATAACATTGAAGAAAATGGGAATTCCAGAACACTTCATTGTGCTCATGAGGAACCTGTACATAGACAAGGAGGCTGTTGTTTGAACAGATACTGCATGGTTTAAAATCAGGACGGAAGTGTGTCAGGGTTGTGTTCTTTGACAATACTTATTCAATCTCTATGCTGAACAAATAATCCTAGAAGCTGGACTACATGAAGAAGAACATGGCATCAGGATTGGAGGAAGACTCATTAACAACCTATGATTGATACAACTTTACTTGCTGAAAGTGAGGATGACTTGAAGCACTTACTGATGAACTGAAAGCTATAGTCTGTAGTATGGATTACACCTCAATATAAAGAAAACAAAACTCTTCACAACTGGACCTATAAGCAGCATCACAATAAATGGAGAAAAGACTGAAGTTGTCAAAGACTTCATATTATTTGGTTCTACAATCAACACCAATGGAAGCAGCAGTCAAGGCATCAAAATATGTATTGCATTAGGCAAATCTTCTGCAAAAGATCTCTTCTAAGTGCTGAAGAGCAAAGATGTCTCCTTGAAGACTAAGGTGTGCCTAACCCAAGCCATGGCATTTTCAATCACCTCATATGCATGTGAGAGCTGGATAATGAGTAAGGAATACCAAAGAAGAGTTGATGCTTTTGAGCTGTGGTGTTGACAAAGAATACTGAAAGTACCATAGACTGCTAAAAGAACTAACAAATCTACTCGGAAGAAGTGCAGCTGGAATGCTCCTTGGAAGCAAGAATGGCCAGACTTTGTCTCACCTGCTTTGGTCATGTTGTTAGAAGGGACCATTCCCTGGAGAAGGATGTCATGCTTGGTAAAGTGGAGGGTCAACAATAAAGGGGAAAGCCCTCAACAAGATGGATTGACACAGTGACTGCAAATATGGGTTCAAGTATAGGAAGGACCATGAGGCTGGCACAGGACTGGACAGTGTTTTATTCTGTTGTGCATAGGGTTGCTATGAGTTGGAGACAAATAGATGACACCTAAAAAGAACAACAACAATCAAGCATCAGCAAACTTTTGCCCCAGGGCTTTCCTATGCCCTTCATTGAAGGGATGTAGACCTCTGTCTCTATGGCCCTTTCAGTCTGATAGGGATGAATGTGAGTCATAGGTGATGGTTTATTCTGTGTTCTAGAGGGTTTTCATTATTTCAGTCAACAAAAATATACTCAGCCCCCACTCAGGGGTCATGGCCTTGAGTACAATGCCCTCACTCCTTGAGGCTACAGTTAGGCAGGAAAGCCAGACACTGACAAATAATCACATAAATAAATGTGTAGTTACCAATTTTTTAAGTGCTATGAAGCAAAAATCAGAAGTATGTTGGGAATGTATGACAAGGATGTCTGATTATATTAGAGAATAAATGGAAGCTGCCCTGAGGACAATGGTGCTCTGGTGGTGCTGTGGTTAAGGCATTGGACTACTAACCAAAAGTAGGTGGTTTGAACCCACCAGCTACTCCATGGAGGGAAGATGAGGCTATCTATTGTCTCTTATTTACTTCCATAAACATTTACAGCCTTGGAAACCCAATGGGGTTGCTGTGAGTTGGAATGGATGGTAGTGTTCTTTTGTTTGTTTGTTTTAGTATTTTTTTGTTTGTTTGTTTTGGCCCTGAGGACATGACATTAATCTGAGACTTGAGGTTGACCACCAATCAGAGAAGAAGGCTTAGCCTGGTTGGGGTGGAGGAGGGAAAGAGAAGGCCATTCAAGTCAAGGGACCAAATGAGAACTTGGTCACATTGGCCACACTTACCTGCCAGGGAGGCTAGGAAGGGTAGTCTGTAGCCTTGCTCTCTGGCTGCCCAGCTTTGACTATACTGCCATGCTTAGAAACAGCTAATGGGTTTTGATGGAAGAAGCAAAATATATTTTTTCAAACTGGAAGATCAGGAACTGAAGGGAGAGCTATAACAGACAGAGGCGGGAGGAAACAGGGGTAGTCCACACAGGACTCTGAAAGTCATGCTAGCTTGTCTGGATTTTATCTTGATTAGAGAGAGGGAGGTGCTGGAAGTCCTTCAGGTATTCACTGGGACACTGGATTGGTGGAGGCAAAGAGCTCAGTTTGGAGGTTTCTTAGTGTCTTAGAGCTGCTGTGACAAATAACCAGTAACTAGGTGGCTTCTGAGAACAGAAATTTACTGCCTTACAGTTGTGGAGACTGGAAGTCTTAATTTAGGGTATTGGTTGGGCCGTGGCTCTAGGAGAGGATCCTTTCCTGTGTCCCTCAGCTTCTGGTAGGTCCGGGTATTCTTGGGCTTGTAGATGGATCTTCACATGGCCTTCCTTCCTCTTGTGTGTCTTTGTGTCTCTTCTCCTGTTTTATAAGAACATCACTCAGATTGGATTAGGATTCACCCTACTCTGGTATAACCTCATGTTAACTGATACCATTTTCAAAGACCCTATTTCCAAAGTCAGGTTCACAGGTCCATGGATTAAGCCTTCAATGTGTGTTTTTAGGGGACACAATTCAATTTATGACAGAAGTATATAGGATAATGTTCAAGACTTATGGAGAAGTGGAGTTTGAGTGCCAACCAGGAACATAGGAATACATCTCTTCTTAAATAGAACACATGTCCTGTTATCTCTATACCTTGATTGTTCACACCACTTTGCTGCATTTCTTTATAAAAGACACCTCTCTATTCAGTCACTTCTGTGTTCTGATTTGGAGAATGTAACAATTACTTGTCCAGGGATTGTGAGTTCAGACTCAAACCCCAAGCCATGTTACCCTGTGTACTATGCACTACACTGGCCTGGGGCAGAGATTACCATGCACAACACCATCCCCTCTTGCTGAGGCATGGCCGTCATTGCTTCAGAAAAGCAGAGAATGATCCATCACAGAAAAGCAGTCTCTTAACCAGAGTCTCCTTGGCTTTTTCCTACCCATACCCTAGATGTTGCTCAACATTTGCAGTGATTCTCAGGGTCTAGAAGGACTTGTCTCAGGAACTGAACTCCAGTCTCTACTGATTGCCACAACCTGTCTTCAAGAGAACAGCTGCTGCTTTTGGAAAGAGCCCACCTTCTGTGTGCTGAGAGCCATCTCCAAGGCCCAGAACCTCAGTGTCATCCGGTACCTACAGGGTATGTCTGCAGGAGACTAAGTGTAGGCTGTGCACCATGAAAGAGCTTTCTTTGAACTCTCATGGCAAAGACTGGGCCCACTTCCATAAGGCCATGAGATTGTCTTGCAGCATCAGTACACAAGAGCAATGAATGAGCAGGATTCTCATTGATGCTCAACTATGTCCTGTAGATGACCCTACACTGCATGCTCCATTCATAAAAATGCTTTTATTGTTCATATTGATGCTTCACTGGAAGAGTGAGGACAAAGGTAAACTCACTCAATATGTGGCTACTATGAAACAGACAGGGTGCTGGGTCCATTTGTATGTTACTAATTAGTCTTTGAGATAGATATTGATGCCATTTTGCAGTAGAGACACTTGAGATTAAGAGCAGTGAAATAATTTGCCAAATCAAGTATCAAACCTGGGAATGCCTGAGTCAGGTGCCTCAGGTTCTGCTCAGGGATAGCGTATGCAGGAGTTAAGGACACAAACTCTTGGTGTGGACTCAGTTTTGCTGAGCAACCTTAGACATTTCATTGCCTGTCCTCTCATCTATCTAATCAGAGTAATAATATTGCTGATCTTACTGGATTATTATGATGATTAAATGAGTTGATATATTCAAAGTGCTTAGACAGTGCTTAGGAGCTCTAGTGGCCTAGGGCATTTAAATGACTGCTAACCAGAAGGCTAATGGTTCAAACCTACCAGCCGCTCTTCAGAAGGAAGATTGGGCAATCTATTTCCATATTAATACTGCCTTGGAAACCTAAAGAGGGGTCGCTATGAGTTGAATCCAACTTGATGGCAATGAAGTTTTTTTTTTTTTTTTTTTTTTTTTTCAGTTTAGACAGTGCTTGGTACATGGTGTGTGCATACAGGTGTTAGTATCCTACCATTGTTATCTGGTTTTGACCAAAGACAAAACACTTAGGAAGTCAATTCCATTGCAATACCAGAGGCTTCCCTTCCTATCATCTAAATCCCCAGGACCCTGGATAATGCTGTGAAGCACAGAGCCTGCTGAGGCTCACAGAATCTCAGGAACCTCTTTTCAGCTGCTGGCCCACTATGCAGCAAGAATTGGAGCTTGGTAGGTTGGCTCCAAGGAGAAGATTCTGAGGAAGGTTCATTTCAGTTACCTCTCTCCCTACCAGTGTGACATTTCCTTGGCTCTACCACTTAAGGTGCCTCTTAAGAGAACAGCAGTTCATGCCTTGGGCTAACCAATTGGCATCTATTGGGGAGAGGTAGGGTTCAAGCCTTCCAATGTGATCTGTTTGTCCACAAATACTTGCTCCGTGGTTATCTCCTTCCCAAGTCCTCCTGTGAAAGGTGAAGTATTAAGCAGGCTTGCTCTCCTGTAACTGATGGCCTGAGCCCTGGCATGAGGTGTGGGCCACAATTTAGAGGTTCAAAAGCTCTTGGTGAACTTTCTAATTACTTAATGGACCTGTACCTGTGTGCTAGGAATTAAGAGTGGAAGGTTAAATCACTGTCTTCCTTTTTCCTGTTTCTCCTGCTGTCATCTCGGCCTGCAGAGTGAGGCTCTCAGAATGACACTTGCCTTGGGAGTATCCTCTTCTTTGATCCAAGAGTCAGAAAAATGCTTGGATTTATTCTCATTCACTTCCTGATATGCAACTTGAAGTACAGTGAGGAGAGGGCTGTGCTCTATAGAGTTTTCAAAGGATGATTATGCACAGTTCTACTCTGACACATATGGGGTTGTTATGGTCAGAACTGATGCAATGGCAACTGGTTTGGTTTGAAATTTGGAGGGGAGTGCTATTACCTCTGAGCTGAATGAGCTCTGTTTTTCCCTCTGGCAGCCATGGATTGTGTTAAGATTTCCCTACAGAACCTCTCCAGGCTTGCAGACACGAACCTGGCTCCAGAGCTGAGCGAGTCTGTGGGCCTCATCTTGGGCTTCGTGAAGGATTCTTACCCCATCTCTTCCGCTTTGCTCCTGGAGTTCGAGAATGGGGAGGGCTACCCTCTGCTGCTTAAAGTGCTGCTTCGGTAAGTGACTGTGCTTGGTGGGGAAGATAACAGAACTGCTATGGAGGTGCTTTGTCAGTCATGGAGGTACTTTGAAAGAAGACAGATAGCAATGCCTCTCAACATGTCTTCTGAAATATACATCTCCATAGGTCATGGCCAGGGATACCTCTAATTGAATAAGGAATTCAATATGAGACATTGATGATGATTCAATGGTTGAAGTCTCATCTCTGATGTGGGAGACCTGGGTTCAATTCCTGGACAATGCATCTCATGTACAGCCACCACCTATTTGTCAGTGGATCTTGCCTGTTGCTATGACGATGAACAAAATTTTGGTGGAAACTCCAGATTAAGATGAACTAGGAAGAAATGCCTAGTGATCTTCTTCCAGAAATGAGCTATTGAAAACCCTATGGAGCAGTATGGTCTGATCTGTAGCTGATCATGGAGATGATGCAGAACTGGACAGCATTTCTTTCTATTGTCCTTAGGGTTACTATGAGTCAGGGCTGACTTGATGGCAACTAACAAATTCAAAGTGCAGCCAAGTTTGAAGACCACTTTACTTGTGATGGTAGTTTTATCAAAACCAGTTGGTGTCCTACACAGATCCCCTTGGCATGTCCCAACTCCATGCTGATTAACTTGACTTCGAGCTGTCAGAACATGTATCTCTGTGTGGCATTACTATAACCTGTTCTGAGTGCTTGGTGAAGGTTGTAGGGTCAAGGGAATTAATAACTCCCAAGAACATCCCTCTACAAATGACTGGCAGGAGATGATGGATAAGAACCCCATAAATTTGCTCCTTAAGTGAGATAGCTCTACATTGTCTCTTGGAGCTCCCCAGAAATTATGCTTCAGTTGCTCCATGTGTATTTGCTTGGTAAAGCTCCCTTCTTGTCTTCCTTCCATTCCCTATCTCACATGGCCTTTCCTCTCCTGGTGTTTTCTGAGATCAAGTCCCAAATAAATTACTCACTCTCAAATCCTGAGCCTTGGCATTTAGATTTGGGAAATCCAAATGAATGAGAAACTTTTGCTAAGTCTGAATTCAGTGAGTTACTACCTCTACCCCGACTTACCATGCCATCTTCAGTTTGGATCCTAGGATTAAGTAGAGACAAGGGATGGAAAGCAAAGAAACTCCTTGATGGCCTAAATTCTTCCACTGATCTTAGGGAAGCTTCTTAAGGGCCTGGCCAAGTGTGCTCCCTTGGTCTTTGCTCTGTGACTATAAGAAACTCTTCTCTATGGGGATGAAGCTCACAGCTACACCTCACTTATTTCAAAACAGAGATATTCAGAGTCTAGATAAGGCAACATGGATGAGGATCTGAAGTCCCACAGCCAATAGACCCCTCTAAAAGGATGTGAAATAATGATAATACCCAGAGGTGCTTCCTTCAAAGGGATGCTAGGAATAAAGTTCCAATGGATACATAAGGGCTACTGTTGTGGTTTCCAAAAGGTATCTGTGTTAGACTGGGTTCTTTAGAGAAACAACACCAGTAAAGCTTATATATATGTATATATATAGAGAAATTTATCTTAGGAAAATGGCTCATACACTTATAGAAGCTGGCAAGTCCAAAGTTCCTGGATCAAATGTCAAGCTGGAGGCTTTTCCCAACTCTTGCAGCTTCAGGGGCTGAGGAGCTCAAGGCTGGCATACAGTACACCAGCTGTTGACTCCAACGAATGACGAATCCAAGATTTCCAGGCTGAATGGTGGATTGTTCACTCATGGACAGTTGCAGGCAGCACAACAGAATCCTGATCCACAGAAGAATGTCTCTTTTCCCTGAATGTCCATAGATATACTGGAAGCAGGCCACAACCCTAGGAAAACTCCCTTTCAACAGATTGCCTGCTCAAAACATTATCATCTGATCCCTTCATGGGAATAACCACCTCACAACAGCTTAAAGCACACAGAATTGTGGTCCAGCCAAATTGACACACAGCTCCAACTATCACAGTATCATTAGTTAGGAGTTAGCTTCCAACTTTTCATAGGGTGCTCTCATTTCTTACCCCTTCCTCCTATGTATTATGTTTAGAAATCTTGGCTTGGAATCTACTTTTATAGCTGTTCAAAGACATATTTAGGGCAGGGAGATTGGGGCAGGCATATTCAGGGTAGGGTGATCAGGGCATATTTGGTTATTTCTAGCATCTTGGCCAGTTAGCATTAAAAGGTAATTAATGGCCTTGAGCCACAGTGGAGGAGATAAGGTTGAGTATATAACTAGATCTCATGGAGTTTGGACCTTCACAGACTCCAGCTGATTCATGACTCTGCATGATTCTTTAGATATTTCCTTTCAGTGCCTGAATAGATGAGCAGCTGGGTCCCAGGCCCAGGTAGATGGTGCTTTTGATTCCTACAGCAGCTTTCTCATCTTATAGGATGACCATCTATCAATCTCCTTGTCTCCTTTGTCCTCACACTAGTTCCATTTTCACTGGCCTTTCATTTTATTATATCTCATCTCTCAGGGGCCTCAATGCATCTCTATTGACTCAGAACATGTGTGGGTATCCACGTGCTATAAACCTGTAGGCATGTCCATCTAGGGCTTCTTATTACCTTTGGAATCTTGGGTTGATGTCTTCCAATATCTGCAGGACATAATAGCTAGGGTTCTATTTTGTCACAGTGTTGCTGTTTTAGTCAGCACTGGCAATCCTGACAGAGGAGAGAGAGAGAGAAAGTGGGGGGAGGGGAAGAGAGAATCAGAGTCAGACACAAGCACCCTGTACTTATTGTACAGAAGACTTGTGACTATCCTATTGCACATTTCACATTTGTCTGGGCCATCATTTCTTGCCTATTGTGACCTGTGCTTTAGCAGTTATTGGCATTTCTTTGGTTAAATGGGTGATTCATTTACCCTAGAAATTATTTTGTTCCAAAGAGTGTTGGGAAAGGCCCCTTCCAGCCCACTGTTTTGTTTTTCTTCCTCTGCTTTAGCTGAAGTCACACTGGAAGCATTATGACTCTTGCAATGCCATGGGTAAAATCAATCTTTAGAGGTCTCCTCAATGAGAAGAGCAAGGTACCCCATTTACCCATAAGTAGTCGAAAATAAAAATACTCAATCAGAAAAAAAGTATAAGGAAGTCTGATAAGGTCCCATTTTCCTCCATGATGCCTACTTTGTTGCTTTATAAAAGTGTCACCTCTTTCAATTTGGAGATACCCTGAGTATGGGTCTTTTGGGTATCTAGCCCTGTAGTAGCCTTCCATACATAGATGCTGCATCTACCATAGGCTCTTCTGCATTCTGATTTCAGGTATTTAGATCTAAGACTGATATTGGAAAACAGAACAGCACTCATCCAAGGCACCCCCTTTGCTTTTTAATACTGAGTTGTCTCTGAGATGTGCCCTTTGGGGTCTTTCCCAGGGTCCCCAACCTACATCGTCTCTGTCCTGTGAGGAGCACTATTGCAAAGTTGACTGCTTCATCCTAGAATTCCAGGGAGCTGAACTTTTTGTCCCCACAGGTATGATGGGCTGTCCCAGAGTGAAGTGGACCCCCACCTAGAGGAGCTCTTCAGGCTGGTGATGTGGCTGACAACCTGTGGAAAGTCAGAGCTGAAGGTGTTTGACAGCATCACTTACCCTCAACGTGAAGGCTTCAAGTTCCATGACGAAGCTTCTGGTAGGTCTTTCTTGGGTCTCTAATCAACTGATGGCAGTCAGTGTTGGCCCCAATAGGGCCACACAGGTCTTTTCCTGAATCTTTGTGAAGAAAAACAAACAAACAAACAAACAAATAAACATTTTGCTCCTGTCAATGCTCACTAGGGTCTAATTCTGTTGTAACATGTGGGGAGATCATAGATTTAAAATCTCTCTCTCACAGATTTTTCCAGATGCCCAACCTCAGCTTCACACAATGAGAAAGTTTGCCTTGGATGTGACTTAAAGGAAACTTTTATTTAACAAAGAAGAAGATTATAAGCCCAAGTAATAGAGAAGGCCTCTCTCTGATCTCTATCCCTACCCAGTACGTCCTCTTGTATGACTAACTATGTAACATTTGCTTGCATGATAGGGATAAACAAAAACCAAACCCACTGCCATCGAGTCGATTCCAACCCACAGCGACTCCCACTGCGTTTCTGAGGTGGTAAAATCTTTATGGTAGTAGATTGCCCAGTCTTCCTTCCATGGAGTGGCTGGTGGGTTTGAATTGCCAACCTTCTAGTTAGCAGTCAAATGCCTTAGGCACTGTGCCACCAGAGCTCCTTATGATGGGGATAGATGGCCCTAAAATAACTACCTGGGGTCAGAGTCACCACCTTCTTAGTACTTGAGATATTCATTGCTGATTGATTGAGGAACTCAATCTACCTGCATTAATACTTTTTGCCCACTGAGCACATGGGTTCTGGATGCCCGTGTGAACAGGCCAGGTGTTTATTCTCAATACCGTCTCTGTAGAGACCATGAAATATACATTGAAATACAACACATTCAATAGGTGGCTCAGTGAATGCATCAGGTATGGTGATGACACCAGTTAGGGAGTGTCCACTCTGCTTAGGTTAAGGGAGCTCTGGTGGCATCATGCCTAAAGCATTTGACTGCTAACCAGAAGGGTGGCAGTTCAAACTCACCAGACACTCCTCAGAAGGAAGATTGGGGAATCTACTTCCGTTGAGATACCACCTTGCAAACCCAGGGGTCACTATGAGTCCGGATCTACTCGACAGCAGTGAGTTTTTTTTTTTTTTCATAGAGAAAAATACATTTATTTAACAGCTTTTCTAGAAATGAAACTGACTTTGCTTGGTAATTATTAATATCATTTGATTTTAATTGATTAAAAATATTCTTCTAGCTCAGGGCTATCTAATGAAAATATAATGTGAGCCTTACATGTAATTTTTTTTTTAAAAAATAGTATTTTATTCAGTTTTTCATGGAAATTTACATAGCAAGCTAGGTTCCCATTTCACGATTTCCACACAAATTATTCAATGACAGCATTTATTACAATGTGTCAACATTCTCTTTTTTTTTTCCATACCCTATGGAGCAGTTCTACTCTGTAACACATTGGGTATCCATGAGTCAGAATCAACTTGACAACAACAACAACAAAAAACATGTTAAGAACAATTGCAGAAAATATGTTATTGTTGTTGTTATGTGTCGTTGAGTTGGATCCAACTCATAGAGACCCCTCCTTGGGTTTCCAGGAGGTATTACTATGGAAGTAGATTGCCCAACCCTCCTTCTGCAGAGTGGCTGGTGGGTTTGAACTGCCAGCCTTCAAAACATAGGATAAATAATTAACCATATGTGGCACATTGAAGGAGCTCTGGTAGCATAGTGCCTAAGGCACTTGACTGCTAACCAGAAGGCTGGCGGTTCAAACCCACCAGCCACTCCTCAGAAGGAAGGTTGGGCAATCCTACTTCCGTAGTGATACTGCCTCGGAAACCCAAGGAGGGGTCGCTATGAGTCGGGGCCGACTCGGTGGAAAATAACAACAACAACAACAATGTGGCACATTGTAATTTTCAAAGATGGCCACAGTAATCTATCCCATCTCATATTCTTTGACTCACTCCCTCAAGGTATTTAGCTGTGGGTAAGGAGTTATCGTAACTCTGCCCCCTGTGAGCTCTATTATATATATGCACATTCTGATAGCATGTATAAATACATATGTAGAAATATTGTCTGCCAAAATTATATTTATTTATGGGTATATTCTCTTTTACTTAGACATACCTGATCATTTAGCCTGTTTACCACATATCCAGCCATAGATAAATGTTTGTTATTATTGATAATTCAATATTGTGTATCTAAAAGTGTTTACTTTTGCTGCCTGTACTTCTTGTGCACCTCTCTGTGTCTTCCTTTTCCTTAATGTTATTGTGCTGGTCACTCGCTTTTTGTATATTGCCTTTCCCTCGACCCAAATCAATACTTGTCTCTTACCTGTCTAGTAGTTTTCTCTCATCTCCCCTCCCATCCCTGGTAACCAACAAAGAAAATTTCCTTCCATATGTAACCTTTCCTTGATTTTTTACAATACTGGACTCATACAATACTTATCCTTCTGTGATTGATTTATTTCACTCAGCATAATGTCCTCCATGTTCATCCAAGTTATGAGGTGCTTCCTGGATTCTACATTATTCTTTAGTGTTGTATCATATTCCATTTTGTGTGTACTAGTTTGGTTATCCATTCATCTTTTGATGGGCACTTAGGTTGTTTCCATCTCTTTGTTATTGTGAATAGTGCTGTGATGAACATGGGTGTGCATATATCTATTTGTGTCCTGGCTTTCACTTTTTAGTGATATATACCTAGTAACAGGATTGCTGGATCTAGTGATATTTCTATTTCCAACTTTTAAAGGAATCACTATATCACTTTCCACAGTGGTTGTATCATTTTACAGTCCCACCATCAGTGCATGAGAGTCTCAATCTCTCCACATCTTCACCAGTATTTCTTTCCTGTCTTGCTAAACTTTGCTGTTAGTACTGGGGTGAGATGATATCTCATTATTGTTTTGATTTACATCTCCCTAATGGCTAATGATTGTGAACATTTTTCTTCATGTGTTTATTGACTGCTTGAATACCTTCTTCAGTGAATTGTCTATTCATACCTTCTACCCATTTTGTAACTGGATTGTTTGTCTTTAGAATGTTGAAGTGTTGGAGTTTTCTATACATTTTAGAGATAAGTCCCTTGCCAGATATGTGACAAATGTTCAGCAATATTTTTTTTTCCCCCAATCTGTAGGTTCTCTTTTCATTCTTTTTTGTTGTTATGTGCCATCAAGTCAGACCCGACTCTTAGTGACCTCTCCTTGGGTTTCTGAGGCAGTATCACTATGGAAGTAGATTGCTCAACCTTCCTTCCGAGTAGGAGAAGTCTTTTGATGTGCCTAAAAGTTTAATTATTAGAAGGTCCCAGTCATTTAGTTTATCGTCTGCTATTTGTTCATTTTTACTTGTTGTTTTTATGTGTCATAGAGTTGGACCCAACTCATAACAACCCTCCTTGGGTTTCTGAGGTGGTATCACTATGGAAGTAGATTGCCCAATCTTCCTTCTGAGGAGTGGCTGGTGGGTTTGAACCACCAGCCTTCTGCTTAGCAGTCAAGTGCCTTAGACATTATGCTACCAGGGCTCCTGCATTCATTTTTACTTATGTTTGATATATATTAGGTCCCCTAAGTTTTCCCCTATTTTTCCTTTCATGAACTCTATATTTTTAGACATTACATTTAAGTCTGATTCATCTGGAGTTAGTTTTGGTGTTGGGTGTGCAGTATGGATCTTGTTTCATTTTTCCACAAATGGATATCTAAATTTTCCAGCACTGTTTGTTAAATAGACTATCTCTTATCCATTTATTGGATTTTGATTCTTTGTCAAAGATCTGCTGACCATAGATGGATGGATCTTTTAGCAGGATGTTTTAATAACATTGATTGTCTACTTTTTTTTTTTTAAATTTTATTGTGATTTGGGTGATAGTTTACAGAGCAAATTCATCTTCCATACTGCAGTTCACATACACTTTCTCTCGTGACATTGACTATAATATCCTGCAATGCAACAGCTCTCTTCTCACTTCCTCCTCCCGAGCTGTCTCCTTGTGTATACACAGCCTTTCTATTCTCCCATGATTGATCTCTCCTTAGAGTGTATCTACCTAATGTAAATGTTTGGTTCATATGCCTGTCTTTTGTTTGGCTGGAAGCCACAGGAATGAGTTCAATTCCAGAGCTGAAGGGCAGCTAGGGACCATAGTCTCAGTGGTTCCACCAGGCTCTATTAGACAAGCAAACCTTGTCCACACCCCTTGTTTTTTTTTTTTTTTTTGCCTTTTTGCTTTCTTTTTCCCGGTGATTACTTTGCTTGCATTTGTCC